CAGCACTTTTTAATTATTTATTTTTATATTTGAGACAGGGCCTCACTAAATTGCAGAGGCTGGCCTCAAACTTGCCATCCTCCTACCCTAGCCTCCCAGTCACTGGGATCACAGGTGTGCACCACTGAGACCGGCTCAGTTAGTACTTACTGAGCGCTACTCTGTGCTGGACACTGTGCTGACCATGGAGGCTACCAAGGTGGGAGAAAAACCTCAATAACATTAAGTTCAATAGTGACAAGGACTGCAAAGAGAAGTAGAGCGAGTGAAGGGGTGGAGTGGTGGTGGGAGGTGCCTTTAAACGGGTGGTCAGTGCCTCTTCCGGGGACGGTGTCTGAGCCTCTCAGAAGGGCCTAGCACTGGACACACTGTCGTAGGCTCTCCTACTCTACAGCCTCCAACAGGAGTCGGCTGCCCCGACCCCTAGGTGATAGGATCATTTACCTTTATACCAAGAAGGTTGACAGAGCACCAATGTCTGCATGTGGTGCAGCTGGACAGACCAGCTGGAGGGGCCCGTGCTGAGACCTCAAGTTCTTATGCGTTCTCAGAACGTGTCTGTGACAGCCGAAGTTACTCTCCCTAACAAGGAGCAGAAAATTGTTGAGAGGGTTGGAGGCACAAGCAGAGTCAGAAAGCTGAATTGAAAAAAAAAAAAACAAAATGAAGCTTCTTTTTTTTTTTTTTTAATTTTTATTGTTGGTTGCTCAAAACATTACATAGTTCTTGATATATCATATTTCACACTTTGATTCAAGTGGGTTATGAACTCCCATTTTTACCCCGTATACAGATTGCAGAATCACATCGGTTACACATCCATTGATTTACATGTTGCCATACTAGTGTCTGTTGTGTTCTGCTGCCTTTCCTATAAAATGAAGCTTCTTGACTGAGGAGGCAACGTTGGAATCAAACATGTGAGGAAGGAGATCCGGAAAGAATGTTCATCCGTGAGTGCAAAGGCCCTGAGGCAGGAGCATGCTTTGTGTACCTGGAACAGGGTGACAGCATGACTGAAGGAAGAGGGGACAAGATCGCAAGTAACAGGCGTGACCTAGAGACCATGTGAACACCTGGGTTTTTATTATGAGATGGAAGCCATTTGGAATGTGACATGATCCAACTTGGTTTTTTGTTTTGGTACCAGGGATGGAACCCAGGGGTGCTCTACCACTGAGCCACATCTCCAGCCCTTTCCATTTTTTTTTAAATTTTGAGACAGGGTCTCACTAAGTTGCTTAAGGTCTTACTAAATTGCTGAGGCTGGCCTCAAACTTGCAATCCTCCTGCCTCAGCCTCCTGAGCTGCTGAGATCACAAGCGGGCAACACCCCACCCAGCTTTTTTTTTTTTTAAGATGATAAGGAAGACTTTATTCAAAGAGGGCTCTGGTGATGGGTGAGGGACCATTACCATGGGGTCTTGCAGTGGGGGAAGAGATTGGATTCAGCTCTCCCAACTTAGAGTTTAAAAGGATCCTGCTTCCATTCTAACAATAGACCATAGACAAAGGCAGAAGCAGGGAGGCCAGTGAGGAGGTGATTCCACTCATGCAGACAAGAGGTGATGGCTTGGACAGGAGGACAGTGGTGGAGGAGGTTGACCCTGGGTGTATTTTGAAAGCCGGGCCAGCAGGGTTTGCTGAGGCATTGGGACAAATGCAGCCAACCCTCCTGTTCTCTGAGCACCGGGTGAGCTGGGTTCTTCAGGCCCAGCCTCCCCGCTCAGCTCAGCCGCCCTTGCCAATCCTTGGCATCTGTCCCAGGGTGACAACCTCTGTAGGCTGAGCCCACCGGCTGGACAGACCAAGTGCTAGGAAACAATGTCAGGTCCTGGAGCTTTTGGATTTGGTGGAGCCAATTTTAAAATCCAGAGTCGCTGGACTTAAACGCACTGAGCTCGGAAACTAGGTTTTACAAAATAGAACGTGAACAAGGGTCAGAGGTGCGAGACCATTCCACAATTAGGAAGGTCTTCACGCCCAGTCCCCTACCTACAGCTGCTTGAATTCACGTCACAGTTTGGCAAATCCCAAAGCAAGGCATCTCTGTTTGGGGGTTCAGTGGTGAAAGCTGGGGTAAAGCTAGGGAACCCTGAGATTCCGGCCTCCATCGTCTCTCTGGCAGGAGCTCAGGCAGGTGGAAGGGTCACGGGAGACCTGGGCTAGACAGCTGGATTCGAAGCTGTATTGGTGAGGCACTTTCCGGAAAATTGAGAAAATCTGAGTTACATCAAAGACTGAGGAGTGGCACGGAAGGGCACTGGTCCCCACCAGCCTCCTCCTAGAATCGTAGTCTAGCACTTCTCCTTTCTGGTTTATCAGACAGGCAGTGTGACCTGCAAACCTCACCGTGGGGCTCCTGGCTCCTCACCACTTCCTAGGGGCGTGACCTCAGGCCAGTGACTTTATCTTGTTGCCTCAGTTTCTTCATCTGTAAAATGGGGTTGGTGACCGTGCCCATGTTGGAGGTTTGTTATGGAGATTAAACGATAGGCACCACGTAAAGCATTTGGACCAGTGTCAGGCAGATGGTAATCGATGTTAGCTGTCGTTATTTGTGCAATTGTTGAGAGGAGACTGAGTGAGATTCTTCGATGGCTCCCTCCTACCAATCTACACACCGCCTGCTTTAAGTTAAGACTGATTGTCAAGTGGTGAGGGGCAATGACCTGAGCCCTGGGCCTGGGAGCTAGGATGGGGCTGGGTAGGGTCAAGGAGTGGGGCTGGATTTGGAAGACCAGTGCTCAGCTCAAGAAGGAAATTCAAGCAACGGTGAATCATTCCTTCATTCAACAAATATTTATTAAACACAGTGTGGCGCCCACGATGCACCAGGTGCTGGGGTACTGCAGAGAACAAAATGGGCCAAGACCAGCTTTCAGGAAGCTCACAGTCCTGTAGGGTAGGTGGCAGGGGGTAAGCCACAGTGACTTTGTGCCCCTACGTTCACCCCAGCACTGGGCGCGCTGACGGTTAGTAACAGAAGCCACGGTTGGCGCCTCACCCCGTGTTCGCCTGGGGCGTTGGTGGGGCAGGGGCTGGAGCTGGGTCGTAGAGCACTCGCTTGGCGTGTATGATGTCCTGGCTTCTATTCCCAGCACCAAAAAATAAATTAAAATTTAAAAAAAAAGAAACTCATCAATAATGACAAATGCATTCTTTTCAATCTGTATCAGGAAAGAAGATCAAAAATGTCCACATTCACATTCTTTACCAAAATTTAGAGATCCATCACCTTAGTTAAGTGATTAAATGAATTGGGACATTGTCTGTAGTGAAGGGCAACTTATATCTTGTACCTCCAACTGCTTTTTAATTTGGATTTTGGAGGTTGTACAATAAACACCCTCTGGCCCATTTATTGGAAGACTGGCTAGCGGCCACATTTGGGTGGAATCCAGAGCAGGAGAGGGCTCCGTGATGGGTGAGGCTGGGCAGAAGCACTTGGGTCACACAGCCCAGCACATCTCCTGGTCCTGAGCATAGCTATGGGAGGAGACCTAGAAGTCTGGAAAGCCCCAGGGTGGGGCCGTCTCATCCCAGGCTTCTGGTGCAAGGCCCTGCCCTGGACCATGGGAACAATCAGCCTCTCAAAGGTAGCTCTTGGCCGACACTAAAAGGTAGCTCTTGGCTGAGCTGCAGAACCAGAGCAAATAAAAGACTATTGTTTTAAGCCACTAAGTCTTAGGGTGGTTGATTATATATAGATGATCAGAGCGTGCATGATACAGTACTTGGTTCTTTTTAATATTGTATGATAATTCACTATACAAATATACCAAAATTTACAGGTCTATTCTTTGTCATAGACCCTTCAGTTATTTCTAGTTTGGTCTATTACAAATAATGCTGCTAGGAACATTTTGTACATCTGTAGTGGAAATGTGTGCTCATAGAGAACAGACTTAGGAAGAGACCATAAGAGTGTTTTTTGTTTTTGTTTTTGCAGTACCCCATGCGAGCCAAATGCTCTACCACAGAGCTACACCCCAAGCCTATTTCAACTACTTTGGAAAACTAAAAACCCAGCACAAGAAAAAATTCTATACTTCCACCAGCAAATCATGCTTTCCAGTTTCTCCAAATGTTTGACAATACTCAAGTTGTGAGACCTTTTAGTTTGATACTTTCTTGCAAGTACATAGTGGTATCCTATTTTGTGTGTGTGTGTGTGTGTGTGTGTGTGTGTGTTTTGTATCCAGGATTGAACCCAGGGACACTTAACCACTGAGCCACATCCTTAGCCCTTTTTTATATTTTATTTAGAAACAGGGTCTCACTGAGTTACTTAGGGCCTTGCTAAGTTCCTATTGGTTTTTTTTTTGGTAGAGATTAAACCCAGGGTGCTTAATCACTGAGCCTCCACAGCCCTATTTTGTATTTTTTTATTTAGAGAAAGGGTCTCACTGTGTTGCTTAGCG